CGTAGAGTATAACATTATCCGTTTTCGCCTCTGCAGATGTCTGTTTGAGTCTGTGAAGAAAAAGATGAAGCAAGAGAGGCGTGTATGCATGCTTTTGTGGACTGTGTATGTGTGGAAGCCTTGCATGTTTATGCATGTGCTTCTATGCGCTTGCATTTGTGCAGTGATGTAATAAACTATGATAATTTAGGAGGTGGGGAGAGGCTCTTGTGACTTCAGAAAGATTGCGGCTCCTTGTTTACGAAATCACCCCTTGAGAGCATCTAATGGCCGGGGTTACAAGCCTCTGGCAGAGGGAGTTTTGAACTTTGAACAACGCCGCATAGCAGGCCTTTAGAAATGCGTGCATGTGAGAAAGAGAGGGGGGATGAGAGAGAGAGAGAGAGAGAGAGAGAGAGAGAGAGAGAGAGAGAGAGAGAGAGAGAGAGAGAGAGAGAGAGAGAGAGAGAGAGAGAGAGAGTGAGTTAGACAGGAGAAAAACAAGACAGAGACAGAGACAGAAAGAGAGAGAGAGAGAGTTAGACAGGAGAAAAAAAAAGACATAGACAGAGACAGAGAGAAAGAGAGACTCAGAGAGAGAAAAAGACTTGAACCAGAGAGACACAGAAACAAACAGAAATAGAAACAGACATACACAGATAATGCAAATCTTAATGAAGACGATTCCTCTGACACACTCTCCCATCGCAATCTTCCTTTTGCCTCCCCAAGACAAGACAAACGAGGCAAATCTTCCCTTCCACTTGTCAGTAAACAAAGTCATCACCGAAGCGCTTGTGTGTCCCGGATGTGAGTCATTAGGCGCCTCCGTTCATCATCAATTAAGAGTCATCACACTGTGCCATCTGTCATGATTTAAATTCCAGAATTTATGACTTGTAGACAAGCGGGTACTCGTCGACATGGGTCCTTAGTACAAGGCATCTGTGGCACTGGATTGAAGCCCCGTTTAATTGCATAATTAGTGCTGCTAATTAAATAGAGGGAGAAAAGCCAGGGAGTACACGTGCGCACAGAACGTCAGTATTTGAATATAGTGTAAAATATTATTGTATGAAAGATATATCGTGGCTTCCGTATTCCGTACATTTGAGATAACAAATAACAAGTCAGAATTTAAGATTTTTTTTTTATGTAATTCATTCTTCGTGATTTTCTTATTTTTTTTATTTTTTTACTCGATCGGACGCGGTAATAAACAATCGCCGGAAGCCACTTACCAGATATTCGTTACTGTGAATACTCGTGTTTGTTAGTTTGTCCTACCTCTTCCCTTATACTATTTCTCCTAATACCCTCCCCCTTATATTGTTTTCCTATACTCCTTCTTATCTACCTTCTGCCTTTTTTCCTTATACATTCTCCAATATTTCCTTATATCCTTTCCCTTATATTCTCTTATACCCTTTCACTCATACCCCCCCTTACATTCCCTTCCTCGCACTCCCTTATACTCTCTCTCCCCTTATATTCTCTTCTCCGCGTTCCCTTATACCGTCTCCCCCCCTCCTTATATTCTCTGGCTCGCATTCCCTTATATTCGCTCTCTTGCACTTCCTTATACTCTCTTCCTAGCACTCCCTTATACTCCCCCCCATATATTCTCTTCCCCCGCGCTCCCTTATACTTTTTCCGTGAGTTATAATCTCTTCTTCGCATCCCCTTATATTTTCTTTTTCGTTCTCCCTTATACCCTCTCCCTTCCATCCCCTTATATTCTCTTCCCCGCCCTCCCTTATACTTTCTCTCTTCCCTCCTTTATATTCTCTTCCCCGTTTTCCCTTATACTCTCCCCCTTCCTCCGCCTTATACTTTCTCCTCCGAACCCCCTTATACTCTCACCCTTGCATCCCCTTAAACTCTCTTCCTTGTATCCCCTTATATTCCTCCTCCCCCCTTCCCTTATACTCTCTTCCTTGCATCCCCTTATACCCTCTCCCTTGCATTCCCTTATATTCTCCTCCCCCCCTCCCTTATACTTTCTCCCTCCTTCCCCATCACCCACGCAGCATCCACCCACTCTCCCACCCACGCCCGCCCCGGCCCATGCTCTCCCCATGAAGACAGATCATCTCTCTGCATTAAGAGCAATCAGCAGCATCCATCACAACACGTGGCGGGTGAGGGAGAAAGAGGGAGAGAAAGAGAGGGAGAGGGAGGGAGGGAGGGAGGGAGGGAACGGGGGAGAGGGGGTAGGGAGAGGGAGGATGGGATTGGGGGAGGGAGGGAGAGGGGGAGGGAGGGGGAGGGTGGGATTGGGGGCGGGAAAAGGGGAGAGGGAGGGAGGGAGGGAGAGAGAGAGGGAAAGAGAGAGAGAGAGAGAGAGAGAGAGAGAGAGAGAGAGAGAGAGAGAGAGAGAGAGAGAGAGAGAGAGAGAGAGAGAGGGAGAGAGAGAGAACAAAAGAGAGAGAGAGAGAGAGAGAGAGAGAGAGAGAGAGAGAGAGAGAGAGAGAGAGAGAGAGAGAGAGAGAGAGAGAGAGAGAGAGAGAGAGAGAGAGAGAAAGAGAGAGAGAGACAGAGGAAGAAAGAAAGAAAGAGAGAAAGAGAGAGAGAGAGAGATCTCACAAAGACCTCTCTTCCGTAGTGTCTCTCTCGGTTCTATAATCCGAACAATTGGCAGCAGATTTCGAATAGCCTAGTTTTGTCTCTTTACACTTGTTACGATTGACAGGTTGTCGGAGTCACAAACAAGGGGGAGAATTGCCTTTGTTATGAGAAGAGGCTTGTTTGCTTGTTTGCAACGCTGGATGGGAGCTGATGGCGGACTTTGCAGGCGTTGAGTGTCTGTTGCACGAGGCTGCTCTTAAGACTTAATTCGCCAGCATCAATCACGAGAAATGGAGACTATCCGACGTTGTGGATATTCGAATGTAATGACATGGTGTTGCTGTAACATATATCCATGTGCAAAAACAGGCACGCACGCACGGAGATACACAGACCTTACTGACATACACACACACGTGCGCGACGCATGCAGAGTTACATACGCACGCACGAACGCACATGTACGCACAGTTATATACACACGCACGCACGAACAAACGTACGCACAGTTACATACACACGCACGCACGAACAAACGTACGCACAGTTACATACACACGCACGCACGAACAAACGTACGCACAGTTACATACACACGTACGCACGAACAAACGTACGCAAAGTTACATACGCACGCACGCACGAACATACGTACGCACAATTACATACACACGCACGCATGAACAAACGTACGCTCAGTTACATACACACGCACGCACAAACGTGCGCACAGTTACATCCACACGCACGCACACGCACATCCACACATATACGCCGCGCAATTGTGTTTGGAGGAATGAACAAACAAACGGATTTACAACCTCCGTCCTCCCTTGGTATTAATCACTTCCTTCCACTTCAAAATTGGCATATTATAAAAAAAAAGAAAAAAAAGAAAGAGAGAAAGAAAGAAACAACAACATTCACGATATTTTTTCCCCCATATTCCTGGCGATAGATCACCTGAAAGACTCACAGCGTCGGTTTTCCTCGAATTTGTGAATTCCGTCCCTCGGTTTTCGCGTCTTGCTGTCGGGGAGTATTATGTAACAGGCAGATGAAAACCCGCTTTGATAGGTATTGTCTCTGCAGTGGTTTTGTGGTTCTTGCGAGTTGGTACCTTTCTCACTTCCGAGTCTGGCTTCGATTTCTTGCACTCTTTCTCTTTGTCTCTGTTTCGGTCTCTGTCGGTCGGTTGGTCGGTTTGTCTGTCTGTCAGTTTCTGTCTATGTTTGCAAGTTTATGTCTCTGTTTGTTTGTCTCTCTCTCTCTCTCTCTCTCTCTCTCGCTCTTACTCGCTTTTACTCTCACTCTGTCTCTCTGTCTCTGTCTATCTCTCTCTCTCACTCTCAAACGAGAGATATTACGGTGTAATTTCCAGGGAACCTGCCTCTCGATCGGACACCATTACAGTCAAATTAAAGGATTTTTTAAAACCCAGAGTACGCCCAAATTGCATGTGTCCAATTCCATTCATTAATCTTCACGCATTCGCGCTTGTGCCTGAATGGTATGTGTAGATAGATGCATCCCGTGTGTGTGTGTGTGTGTGTGTGTGTGTGTGTGTGTGTGTGTGTGTGTGTGTGTGTGTGTGTGTGTGTGTGTGTGTGTGTGTGTGATTGATACGTTTATATATATATATATATATATATATATATATATATATATATATATATGTATATATATATACATACACATATATTTATATGTATGTATCTACACACACATACATATATATATATATATATATATATATATATATATATATATATATATATATATGGATAGATAGATAGACTGATAGATAGAAGACAGATTAAATATATATACACAAATGCACACACACACACACACACACATATATATGAATATATATATATATATATATATATATATATATATATATATATATATATATATAATATATATGTGTGTGTGTGTGTGTGTGTGTGTGTGTGTGTGTATGTATATATATATACACATATATATGTTTATATATAAGTATATATGTATATGTAAATATATACCTTTGAAGTTTATGATGTGAAAGTATCGTTGCATTTGGTGCAAATATCTGTATCTGCATATTGCAACACCTATACTGCGTACAAACTCAGTATAGAAATGTAATTTGGCCGACGCTGCCATACTCTGATCCTTCAAGTTTCTTTGGAGAGGAAATGGTAAAACAGTGAAGGCCTCGAATTTCAATTAAAATGCTTAAATGGTATTGTATATATATATATATATATATATATATATATATATATATATATATATATATATATATATATGTATATATATATATATATATATATATATATATATATATGTATATATATATATATATATATATATATATATATATATACATATATATATATATATATATATATATATATATATATATATATATATATAAAGGGGCATTTTGTAAACGTAAGTATGAATTGTCAGCCAGTTCGAACACCCATGAGCCTTGGCGAATCGCAATACTCGAACGCCAGGGGTGACTTGTCCATTGTTTTCTTCTTTGAGATTACACAGTATAACAACTCACCTATGACCTCCATGCTGGTAATCTGCGAGTCCTTCTCATAGCTCGGGAAATCCGCCAGGACCTCGCACTTGTATCTTCCTGCCGAAGCGTGAGACACATTCCTCAAGACGACCTCGTCACGGCTTGACCTGTTTCG